TCTCTCGTCAAATTTAAAAATACTACTACTACTAATAACAATGGAATTAAATAAATAAATATTTTTTAAAAAAGGAAACTTTGGGTACAGAAACTGTAGGCTGTCTCTTTATATATTTTTTACTATTGGGCTATTGCCAGGAGCAAAAGCTAAAAACTTCATTGGATTTTTCTTTTGTTTGAAGAATACTGTGCTGAGTAAATGAAGCATGTTATTTTACCTGGTAACTCCCTTATTGATAATTTTATCTGGTTTATATGCCTCTATACAACTTAATTTTAAAATTTTTGCTATAGGGCGCGTACGCTCACCAGACAGACTGAGAGAGACAGAGAGACAGAAAGCGAGAAATCACCCCCCAGGGGGATGGCCACGCCGCAATCCCTTCTCCTCCATTCTCTTCTCGGGATCTTGGGCATGCACGCACACGTGCCCGGCATGAGTTTTAAGCCACCGGGTCCGGGACACAAACTGCAGTCAATTATGTGGGAGTCCAGCGACATAGCCATTACACTAACTGCTGGTTCCCCCAATTTTAAAATTTTTTACAAGAATATTTTTAGGTTTTTATTTTCTTTTTAAAGGATTATTTTAACTTTATTTATTGTTATTTTTAAAGTATTTGTTACAGGGCACATACACTCACCAGAGAGAGAAAGAGAGGAAAAGTAAGAAAGCGAGCCACCAAGACCAGGACTTGAACCACTATTGGCTAGCCCCTTAACCACCCCACCATCTGCTGGCCCCAAGAGCATTTTTCTATGTCAGTAAAAATTTATTTTCACCATTTTTAAATTGCTCTAGAGTATTTAATCAATTCCATATTGTTAGACATTTAGTTGTTTCTAGCTTTTCTGGTTATAATCAGTAATGGTTATCATTACATATGCACCTGTGCCCATTTGTCCTGAAAGTGAAATTGAGGAGTCAAAGGATATACATACTGCTACCACGACTTCTAGAAAGACTAGCACTTTATATTCCCACCAACAGTTTGGCAGGAAACTGAAAAAGTATCTAAAGAGGATCTGACTAGCCATTCTTCTTGCAAGCAGCAAGAAAGAATTTGCTTAGCTTAGCAATTAGCAATGTTTTTTATGTCACTGTTGTACAAGAGGTTTTGGGTAGAATTAGAGTTATTGTGCATTCAGGCACAAAAATTCCTGCAGAATAACTGGAAGTGGGGGGAGCCACACGAGGTTAGCCTAAAAGTGGAAGGAATGAAGAAAATAAGTCTTTTGTAGCTGCATGGAGATGGAAAAGAAAAACCGAGAGATTTTTCTCCCGCTTGACAGGTTGGGGGGGCTTGCAGCGCCATCTTCTGGCAGAGAAACCAAAAGCTTGCCCTCTCCATGCTAGGAATTAAGTAGTACAAGTACCGCCAAAAGCCGACTGGCGTGAACCCCGAGTTGGGGTTCGCGTGTTGAGCATCATCTGACCTCCGAGATCTCTGGCAAAGTTTGTCATCTCTCCACAGCGTACGCTTACAAAAACTACAATGCAGAGGGCTACTGAGACAGCAAAATAGCCACTATCCTTCTGCTTCGAGTTTGGATTCTGCAGTAGCTGAGGATTGCTCTGTGTAAATTAACCTGGCAGCTATAGGGCTGCTGCTCAGGACCACACCAGATTTGATCCTTTATAGAGCTGCAGGGGGATCTGTTTCCTAACTCTCTCGGCTGGTCCTGCAGTGAAGAAACGTACTTAGCTAACACCGCACTGCCGGACCTTTCAGTACACAAATGATTTATACACACATTAGATGTAAAGGTGCAGAAAACCATGTTATCACCTTGAAAAAGTTATTTTTCAGACTTAAAAAGACTTCCTTGCTTTAATCACCCAAGATAAAGCAAGTTTACTTTAAAAAATGTGGCAGCCCTAAGGAGTTAACCTTCAAAATAGTTCCTGTTTTAGTGCAGTATGTGTGGAAAAAAACGTATTCAGTTAGATTCCATGCGTGACTTGCCCTCATCTCTACCTTGCTCCTTCCAGTCTTCCCGCACAACCCTCCTGCCATCACGCTCCCGCCTGCAGCGGGTCGTCCAGAAGCCGCTCTTGCGGGCCCCGCCCCTTCCCGGCCACCTGCGCTGCGTGCTGGCCTCTGCGCGCTGACGTCACACGCCGGCGCCAGGGACGCTCCGGCCGCTCCCCCTTCCTCTGCACTGGCTCCGGGGTATTTGGGTGGTAGAGTCCGGAACGCTTGCCGTGGAGTCCCAAGCAGTTATTCTCATAGTCCTGAATCTAGATCCGGCGTTGCGAGGCAGGAGGACATTGCAGTCAGGTAGCTCTGTGGTCCCAAATGTCGCCTGTCCCTCTCCCCGCCATTAGCAACGACCTCTGAAGTTGGAGATGTGGTAACGGAGGCACTCCCCCTGGTGCTGCCCGCGGTTTCCAAGGGGCTCAGAAACCAGTTTGTTTGTTTCTTCTGGGTGTCGTGGACCTGTCTCATGGGCGTTGCCCTAAGCGGTACAGAGTCAAACGTGGGGTGTAAACCAAAGACGGGTGTCAGGCGTGGGTGTCTCAGTGTCCCGGTTCAGTCTGGGTTGTGAGCTTCTGCGTTTGGACAGCGTGGGGTTTCTCTTTCAGGATGCCGTTTTGAAAATGCAGGGTGGTGCCTCTGCCTTATTAAATCCCATAGGAAGAATGCCACACGTAGACTGATTGATGCCTACGGATCATCACCGTTATTCCTACCGAAGTCCTGTGTCATTGAGGTGAGTTGCATTTGGGGGAAGCAATGACATGCAAAATGGTAAAATCATACTGGAAATGAGCCTTTCTTATGCAGAAATTAGACAGATGCTCACTTTAAGTGTGTGCATGGAAAATACTTTTCTCTCACTAAAATTTTATTTCTCTAACAAACTGTATGTATTACAAAGCAATTCTTGGACATTTTTCTTAAAACTGTAGTGATAATAGTAATAGAAATCTTATTATGGTTAAGTAATCATTTATATGTTGTCTCTGATATCAAATACATATACATGTATTAGAAGGAGGAGATGACTTCCAGTTAACTGATTTCCCTATAATCTTACATTGTAATTTCCATGATTTACCAGTTTCTATATATAAGCCATTAAAGTTCTACTTGAAGGACTTTATCATAACACTTTTCTTATTGAAGCCAATTTCGTATTCTCTACAGTAAGATCTCCAAAAAGCAAGAAAAATGTTAAATAATTATTTAATTTTCTTTACTATTATTTTTTAGTTTGCTACAGGGCTCATGCACTCACCAGAGACAGAGAGATGGAAAATGAGAAAACAAGCCACCAGGTATAGGATTTGAACCACTGTTGGCCATGTGGGTCCCCAGAGCCTTCGCCATGTCATCTGCTAGCCCCATTAGGAAAAAAATTTTATTGGCTTGGTAAGTTGCATTAGAAAATGTTTATGAAAGATTAAAAGCAGTATTCCATCTGGGCTGATAATGGCCTTTTCTTACAGTGCACAATACAACAGTACTTTAGAGTTTATGGAAAAGAGCCAAGTATGAAGAGAATTACTTCTTTGTTTCTGGTTTAGATTTGTCTGGTATTAGAGGATCTACTGATCTGTTTCATTTTAAATTGTCCATTGTCCTAGGTGAAAAGTAAGGAGTGTATTTTGTGGGAAAACAGGTTTTGTACAGTAGAAATTACCATCAGGAGTTTAAAGAGGGTTATGGAACTTGACCACAGGAGTTCTTTTGAGGTCATGTTAATAATACATTGACACTGTATTCCAAGCACATTTTATCTAATCCTCTGCCTTCTCATTTAAGTCATGAACATGACATCTTTCATGAATATAAAGTCTTCATTTAAATGTCAGTAGTTGCCACTACAGAATCCATTGAGTTTTGTCTGAATAAACTCACAGAGAAGAAAAATATTTCAAAAAAGTCTAATAGGAATCTCAATTTGTTTTGTACTTTTTCAAGTAATGAGAAATAAGAAAGGGATTTTCATCCCCCAGAAGGTAAACTGATCCTCTCTCACAATTCTAAATAGTATTTATTGTTTTGAGAAAACTACACATATGGACTGTAGCTTTAGAAAGTAGTAAAACACTGTTTTTTAAAAATGATTTATTTAATTTATTCATTCACTTATTTTAATTTGACCAGAGAGAGACACAGAGAGAGAGAGAAAGTGAGAAAGCAAGCCTCCAGGTCTGGGACTCGAACCGTGGTTGACCATGTGGTAAGTGTCCAGCACCTTAACCACCACGTCACCTGCCGGTCCCTCCAAGAGAATACTAAAATACTCTTGAAATCTGTCGATACTCCTTTATCAGTGCTTCCTCAGGACAGCCTTGCCATCAAATATCTGAAGCCACTGCTGAGGGCTTAAAGCCTGTCATTATGTGCTCCAGACTGGTGGGAGTACAGCTTTTAATTCATTTACTACAACATTTTTCATTTTTGGTACACAAAATTTCATTATGTCAAATATGCTTATTTATGGCTTCAAATAATTTTTTAGTATAATGTAAGGAAAGAAGTCTAATTTGGCTAGAAGCTGAGGGGTTTTTTTCTGGAGCATAGTTCACCATCTTGAAAAGAAGCATGATGCTGTAGAAAAACTTTGTCTAGGAAAGGTGTTTGAAAATGGAGAATTAGGAGCCAACAGATGGTGTAGTGGTTATGTCACTGGACTCCCACATGGCTAACCATGGTTCGAGTCCTGGACCCAGGGACTTGAAACTCACTCTGGGCACATGGGTGAGTGCGCCCAAGATCTAAAGAGGAGAATGGAAAAGGGATTGTGGTGTGGCCATCCCCCCTGGGGGAGTGATTCTCATTTTTCTTCTCACTGTCTCTGTCTCTCTAGTGAGCGGATGTGCCCTAAGGCAAAAACCTATACCAAAAAAAAAAAGAAAAGAAAATGGAGAATTGCCTACGTACATTCATACCCTGGTATCTGTGAGGAATTTGTCCTAGAAACCCCTGTGAATACCCAAATTAGCAAATGTTCAAGTCATTTATATAAAATAGTGTAGTATTTTGGCATATAACCTATGCACTTCCTCCCTATATTTTAAATCATCTTTAGATTATTAAAAAACAAACTATATTTGTCGTGATTTTCGGGCCTCTGGGTCTGGGACTTGAACCATGATTGGCCATGTGGGAGTCCAGCATCTCAACTCCACACCACCTGCCAGCCCTCCAGATTACTTTTAATACCTAACACAAATACCATATAAACAGTTTTTATCCTATATTGTTTTTATTTATATTATGTTTTATTTTTATTGGCACAAAACACTTATTTTAATGTTTTGGTCTGTAGTTGGTTTAATCTGGGGATGCTGAATCCAGGGACATGGAGGATCAACTGTATCTATACTATACACATACACCTATATAAATAAATGTAAATATAAATATATACATATACTTCCTTTGTTACACAAATGACAGTATGCCATATTTATTATTATTTTTAAAGAATTATTTTATTTAACTTTATTTATTTATTAATTGAATCAGAGAGAAGAACAGAGTGAAAGTGAGAGAGAGAGAAAGTGAGAAAGGAAGCCTCCAGGTCCAGGACTCGAACTGCAGTCAGCTAGGTAGGAATTCAACACCCTTAACCACAATGCCACCTGCCAGCCCCCATATTTATTATTTTGATCTTTTTCAAAAATTCAACCTTATTTAGAAATTAATCCCTAACAATGTGAAAGTTGCTTCTTTATATATGAATATTTAAATTTTGCCCTTAGAAACCAGTGTACCTGTATCTTTGTTTTTTGTTTGTTTGTTTGTTTTGTTGTGTTTTTTGAGAGGTTTTTCTTATAGGGCATGTGCGCTCGCCAGAGAGACAGAAAGTGAGAAATCATCCCCCAGGGGGATGGCCATGCCACAATCCCTTCTCCATTCTCCTCTTGGGATCTTGGGCATGCACGTACATGTGCCTGGCGTGAGTTTAAGGCACCAGGTCCGGCATTTGAACCACAGTCAACTACGTGGGGGTCGAGCAACGTAGCCATTATGCCCTCTGCTGGTCCCTGTACCTGTATCATTTTCATACATTTGGAGTAGTTTTTCCGAAACTTATTTACCATAAGCCTCCAAAGGTGTCTGCATTTGATACTAGTCGATGGCAATTAGAGTCATCTGTCTTCACTACCAGCGGCAGTAGTCATTTTCTGCTTTCCTGAGTTAGAACCACAATGCCCAGCAATGTGGTTAGCAGAATACAGTACAAGAGGCCCTTGGCAACTAAATTTTGAGACCTCTCTTTGCAAAGTCATAGAATAATGATTACTTCAAACTAATCTCATTATGTGGTTATTATTTAATATAATTTAAGTTACAGAATTGGGTTTCCTCTTTTTTTTTTTTTTTTCCCCTCTCTATAGGCCTCATGCTCTCTCCAGAAAGAGAAAGAGAGAGAGAAAGTTAGAAATCACTCCCCAGGGAGGATGGCCATGCCTCAGTCTCTTCTCTTGGGATTTTTGGGTACGCACACACACATGCCTGGTGGGATTCTCTAGTCTCTGAGTCCAGGACTTGAACTACAAAGTTGGCTGTGTAGAATCTAGTCACCTTAACCTCCATGCTGTGTTCTAAGAGGAGTTTATCTTCATCCAGCCACCTTAACCTCCATGCCACATTTTCTAAGATGAGTTTATCTTCCCTTCCCCCCACCTCCCGTAACAGTAATGTAATATATTGAACTTTCATGTCCTGAAGAAATTATTGAGCCTTGGCTGGTGTCCAGATAGCCATTATGTTATGCCAGTGGGCACAACTTGGACTTGAAAATATGTCTGGAATGACTTTTATTCTTTAGTTCACTGATGATGCTACTGTAGTGATACGATAATGTTCCTTTTTCTATTTTTATTTTGCCAAAGGGCACACATGCTTGCCAGAGAGAGACAGGAATGAGGGTGGGGTAGTTAAGAAAGCATCATCCATGGGGAATGGTCATGCTGAAATCCCTTCTCCATTTCTCCCTCATTTCAAGATCTTGGGTATGCATGTGCATGCATCTGGTGTATCTTTTAAGCTGCCAGGTCTGAGACTTAAGCTGTGCAGTCAGCCATGGTTGGATCCTGCCATGGGCTGGCTCGATAATATTCACTTCTCTTTTTTTGTTTTTGCTTGCTTGCTTGTTTGCTTGTTTGTTTATTTATTCCATGAGAGAAAGAGACAGGTGCCCACAGCAGGGTCTCTGGTCTACAATCAGCCCTCAATCCTGGCTTGCTTGAATCTGGCATCCACATACTAAGTGTGCTCAAGGAAGACCTGGGACAAGAACCCAGAACCTTTTCCATGTGAGTCCATTTATGTTCAACTACACCACCATTTTGCCCCTTTTCTTTCTCTTAAATTTGCTAAAAGCATTTTTGTTTTTTACAGACATTTCAAGGTGGAAATGGTTTTAATGTTTTTTAAGGTAGAAGAAGGCACTTTTTCACAAGACTTCATAAGATATAATCAGTTTTATCAGAGGCTGGATCCTGGCCTTTAGTTTTTTAGGCCCAGTATATGAATTTTACCACTTAAAGAGACTTCATTTTAAAATTTTTTTCTAAATTTAATTTTATTCATTGTCATTTTTTAAAATATTTTAGTTTTTTGAAGTTGACCAGAGAGAGACAGTGAGAGAGAGGAAAAATGATAAAGCAAGCTGCCAGGTCTGGAACTTGAACCATGGCCAGCCATATGGGAGGTTAGCGGCCTTAACCATCACACCCCTGTTGGCCCTGAGACTGGATTTTTTTTTTTTTTTTTTTTTTGCCATTGGACACCTGTGCTCGCCTGAAAGAGACAGATGGACAATGAGAGGGAAAGTAAGCAACCACCTCACCCCCCGGGATTGCCATACCTCCCCCTTCAACTCTGTACTCTTCCCAGGATTTTGGGCATGTCACACACACATGCCTGGTGTGATATTCAAGCTGCCAGGTCCAGAACTTGAATCACGGCAGCCATGTGGGAGGCCAACACCTTAACCACCATATCACCTGTTGGCCCTGGGTCATTTTATTTAAAGGCAAGTTAAATGTTTAATATTAGTGGATAAAATGAGTTTATTCATTTACAATGAGAAATATTATCAACTGTCTCTGACATTTTAAAATATAGTTTCTTGACAAAGTCATTTTCTTCTAGAATGGAATCACCCCTTGGAAGCCTGCTTGCTATGAGTGGAAATATTTAGAAAAGTGCAAGGTGATGGGACCAGCAGTTGGCTTAATGACTGTTGTCAGACTCCCATGTAGTTGACCATGGTTTGAATCCCAGACCCAGTGGTTTAAACTCATGCCAGGCACGTGTGTGTGTGTGCCCGAGATCCTGAAAGGAGAATGGAGGAGAAGGGATTGCGGTGTGGCCATCCCCTCTGGGGGGTGATTTCTCGCTTTCTGTCTCTCTGTCTCTCTCAGTCTTTCTGGTGAGCGCATGCCCCCATAGCAAAAGAAAAAAACCTCTCCAAAAAAAAAGAAAAGTACAAGTTGAGTGAATTAAATGTTTATTAGTTTCAGGTTAACACAATGAATCCATGTGTTTATAGTAAGGTTGATCTTTCCAGTAATTGCTTTTGTGATGCTCATTCTCTCACACAAGTGCCAAAGATTATTTAGCTTTGACTACCTAGCATTTATACTCAAACTATTTGTGACAATACCACTCTCTTGAAATTGTTATTGCTAAGGCTCCTAACGACCTTAGTCAGTTATCTTGATATAGTAAGGGTCTAAGTATATTAAAAGCAGAAATATAGGGACCAGCAGTTAGCGTAATGGCTATGTCACTGGACTCCCACGTAGTCGACTGCGGTTCGAGTCCCGGGCCCGGTGGCTTAAACTCAAGCCGGGCGTGTGTGCATGCGTGCCCAAGATCCCAAGAGGAGAATGGAAGAGAAGGGATTGTGGCATGGTCATCCCCCCTGGGTGGTAATGTCTTGCTTTCTGTGTCTCTGTCTCTGTCTTGCTGGTGAGCGCACGCGCCTTATAGCAAAAACCTCTCCAAAAAAAAAAGTAAGTAGAAATATAAAGGAAAGACTAATAAATGTGTTCACATCAGAATAAACTTGTACTTTTAGAGAAACTGAAAGGTAAATAGGATATAAGGTGGGGAAATGATTATGACAGATTATGACCTCAGTTACCTAGGAGGTTTTACAAATTTATAAAAAGACTTCTAAGCTCACCTATGGTGGCGGTGGCGGTGGCAGTGTTGGCAGTGGCTGTAGTGTAAGGGGTTGTCATGGTGTCACATACCATTTTGCTGGTACAGTCTACCAAGCGACCAAAAGCAGAACTGATGATGATTATGAATCTGTGAATGAATCATGGAAGGTGTTTGTAAAATGTATGAAGGACAAAGAAAATGAATCCCAACAGTCCCTCCATCACGCATGATATCGTGCCACCTTTTGGCCCCTAAATATTGTGTTTTTTTTATGTTAACTAATCACTAAGGAATTAGAATTTGAATTAAACATTGTAACTGCTTTATCTTTTTTAATTGTTACTTTTTTTTATGTCTAGCATACCTGTAAAGATGCCTTAGAAAAAGAAACATGGAGA